TAAGATCCGGATTTTCAACTCCAATGTGAAGTCAGTGCTACTTGCTTTACGGATCAGAAACTTGGCACCTCATGAGGAGCACTTAGAACAAACTACACACCTTCATCGATAGCTGTCTTCGCTCATTACTCAAGATCAGATAGCCAGAAAAGATCAGCAACAGGGATCTCTAATAGCAAACCAACCAGGAACTGATGGTGCAACAAATATGGAGGATGAAATGTAGGTGGATTGGCCATACTTTGTGAAAACAAACCATCAAGTGACATTACATGGCAGGCCATCACTCTATTGGAACCTGAATAGGAAGCGGCGAGTTGGTCGTCCAAGGGTGACTTGGAGGAGGTCATGTGAAGAGCAGATAAAAAATGTGGGCAGACGTGTTGCCAGGTAAAAGCGTTGACAGAGAACCGAACGCAGAGACGTGCAAACAATAAGAATATATATTAATAATATAACAGAACTGATGCTAACTGATCACGTTTCTTCTTTCATTTGGTTTTAAACATCTAATGACATTGGAGGCCTTGATTGTCCATGCATTTAAACCAGACATTTGTTTACAAAGGAAGTATTTACAGTCTGCCTTATTTTCGCCTTTATTTATTTAGTTAGTCCACTTTATTTTCTGTCATGACTGCTATTATTATTAGTCGCAACTTGAACAGTTTCCGGTGTTACTAAATTTGTCCTATTTAGTTTTATTGTAAATCAGTAAATATTTTCCTGTCTTAAATTATATTCTATCAGACTTCTCATCATGTTATGCAGTATTTGTATTTGACTATTAATCCCATTAATTTTGCATGCCATTGAAAGATCTATACACTCTATGAAGTAAGAATTATTTGCTGTACCACTTGATACTTAATTACGATTATAATCACAAACGTTTAATAATGATAATAATAATATGCTTTATTCCAAAACAGTACTTATGATACATTAGTGGAATTCTCAGCATTTCGTACAATATTACTGCATCTAATTTACTCAATGACAGTGAAAAAAAGTGGTGTCACAGGACATGTGTTACCAAAATTGATAAAAGCCGCCTTTTAGTATTTGCAGTGACAGTAAAGTCAAAAATGTCCAAAAAGTGTAAAATAATGATAATAATAATATGAATAGCTAAAATTATAAGTCAGTTGAAATAGTGTCATCATAGATTACAAACAGGAGAGGATAAAATAGTCAACTGTTTTGCTAAAAACACAGTAAGTTGTAAGTCTCACGCTTAACACTGTCTCTATCACACAGAACGTGGGTGGGCCAATTAGGATATCTCTGAGTTTTTGTAATTGGTTGCACATGCATCTAATCTTTGATAATGACTTTTAGTCCAAACTGATGAGAAGTGGCAGTAAAGAGTGTGTTAGGATTTAGACCATGAGTTCAAGTGTCTGCAGACTACATCTGTAACGAGCCGACCTTGTGACACACTGCATACTCTACTGATAACCATAAATACCCTTCTCAGTATGACAAAGATGGTTGGAGGCAATCGGCAGGAAGCCCTGCTTGACTCAGGTTTCATGCTAGTTGGCACTCGTCAGAAACCCTGAAGGAACTCATGTCCAAGTGAGTTCTGCAGTCAAAGACGTTGTCACTGAGCACGTTGCAAAGCTGACTGATAGAATTCCGTTTTTATCATCGAAAGGATAAGACACATCATACTAGTTTCCAATCAAAGTATAACATTGTCCTTTTCGAGTATCCCAGGAAAGATTAAGGAGGAACAGTAAAGTACAATAGGTAACATGCGAGAGTTAAGAAATTATAAATGGGTAAGCCGAGTGATACCTGTCTTGTCTGAACTTTTTAATTTAGAAGGTTATACGGAACATTTTCTTAGAAAACAACAAGATATGGAATTTCCAAGAAAGGTTAGATGACAGAACTATTCCCGGATATTTCATGCCTGACGTAATTTCTATTTCAATGCTCTCTATGCTATAAGCATCGTCTGAAAGAACTCGTTCGTGTATATCACGTCCATGACAAAAGGATGGAGTTATTTTTGCTTGAATTTCTTCAGGAAGTATAGTTTCTTAAAAAATCAGATATATATGTGATTCTTCAGCTTGAAAATAAATTCACTGAAAACGGTTCTATTCGCTTAATATTGTGTCCATAATTTCAAAATGGGAATTATAAAATTATTGCATAGATGGAAATGTCTTGGTTTATCTAGAAAGAAAAATGGATGCAGTTCTACAGGATCAGTCTAAAAATTCAAAATAGCTATGCTTCAAATAGTATTTTGCTTCATTTAAACATAGGAATAGAATTCTTGTCCTGTGTGGGTTTGTTTTTATTCCTTTACGTTCCCAGTGGAATATTACGCGCCAAGCTAGAAACTTGAAGTTTCAGTTGCAGTGGTATTTATTTTTACGGGATGGGGTTGCTAGCCTTATGCTTAACGTTTCCTCTTTACCAGTCTTATTACTGGGTTGGCGAGGTGAAGGAGTGTGTTGGCCGGTGATCGAACCCCAGACCATATACATGATCGGCGAGCATTCTACCCTGTGTGCCACCGATGCACAGTCCTGTGTGGTAAAGTATAATAATGATAGATTACTACTAATAACAGAATCGCACCCATTTTTCTCTTCACGTACTATAAGGGGGAAATAATTGAACAGTGTACTTGCATGGACAAAATATTGTTCGATATGAATATGAATATAAAACTAGAATTTAGTGGCAAATACCAACCACAATATAATAATGAATGAAAGAATGGAAAGTGGCCGTTTACTCAGTGTTTCTGATTAGGCTGGTAGTGTCCAGACCTAAATTTTTCTCATCACAGGGAATATGTCCTTGTTAAATAAGGTGGTATTGTGCAGTCATTATATTTAGTCGTCAGAACATAAAGACGTCTGCAGTTACTCCTCGTCCCACCTGATGATATTCAGTGATTTCTTGCATGAGTCCACGTTTCTGTATACAAGAGTATTAAGACGTTGATTTAGTTACGCCACAATCGTCGTGGTGCCAAGTTGTAGAGGTTTTCAGAGAGTGACACAGTCTTTCTTCAGTGGCTTAGTAAAGATGAAGTGTGAAGAATAAAGAATATTAGGTAGGATGCAAGAATTAACAAACCGTGTGTGTAGATACTGTGTGATCGCAGCATTATGTTAGCTTCCTTACGTAGAACATTGAACGAAATATTTTTCTACAAAGTGTCATGATATGGAAAGACTAGGAAAGATCAGAGGAAACAAACAATCGAAGATATTAAACATTCGACTTAATTTCAACTTCTTTGCCATCTATTATATAAGAATCTTTGAAGTGAACCAGTTCATTTAAGTTACACTTGTGTCTAAAATTGAAACTAACAGCCTAATATATGAAGGGAAAATTAAGTATAAGATTATTTGAAAACGATGGCTGACTAATTTCTATTGAAACGTTATTAATTTTTGAACAATTTGGATGAGAAGTAACGGGCATAAAAACAAGGAGATTATCGGTATACTTCAGAAAATTGGCTACGTCAACACGGGTCAAGTAACTTAAAATGAAATAAGACAGAAAAGTAGAAAGAACAACGTTTTGAGGTACACCAGCTATAGTAAGTGGAGCAGTGGAGGACTTCTCAGTGTAGAGAGCTGTAGTTCTGAAAAGTTATATGGATAGGTGAAGAGAGACACAGGTTGATTGCTGATCGTTGTTCCTCAGAATCTAGTCAACTGTGATACCAAAAGTTTGGAAAATATTATTACCAATAAAATCAAAGGATAAGAAACGGTTGAATTCTATTAGCATGGTATGAAAGTTATTTGGATAGATTGATTTGTATAATGGAATTAAATTGTCCTGGAAACGCCATCAGTAAATAATACTGTATGACTGTGTGTCTGTTGAAAAGACTATTATTCGTCAGCTTCAGATGTTATTATTACATTGTTCTGTAAATGAAATACGATCTTACGAAACTTCGCGAATCTGGGAGCCTACTCAAACTGATTTAAAATCTATCCAACTCCCTGTATCATAAAACTGCCAGACGGGTTAAGGAAGTTCTTACATCCCTGAGGAGTTAATTTATCATAATACTCCAAATACATTATAAAGTATTGATTTGCAGAAATTTGATTGATTATAGGATTAGAACTCATGGACCACTAAGTCAGGTCTTATATCAGGTCTCAGTTGCTGAATAGTCTAAGACCTCACTTTGTACCCGGAAGGTCACGGGTTCAAACTCTGGCAGTGGATGCATACTGCTAAAGACTCCCAAAATGAAAACTGAACAACTGTGCAGTACTCCCTGGGGGGGTATTTGCAATGGTTCTATAAATGACATCAGCTTGTGACCAATCCTCTACATTCATATTAGATCAATTCGAATTACTTAACATTTTTGACACCATGAATATATATATATATAATTTCAAGCTGAACTTGTTTTAGAATCCATCATGTTGACTTTCAGAAAAGGTAATTATCAATAAAATGGAGTAGGAGTGGTGTTCCATACATTTCGAATCAACAGAAATTAGAATTTGAGCATCACACTAAACCCTTACTCACTGGCTTTAGTTAAAAACACATAATCAACCCGGAATTTGAAACTGCCTACATCAACTTTTCTTGTATAATTATGAGGAGGAGAAGGGGCACTGTTAAAGTATCACACGGTCCTTAATTTTTTTTCTATCCTTCACGTTCCCCAGTGGAACATAGGGCTTCAAGCTAGTATCTTGAAGTTTCTATAGCAGTGTTTATTTTACAGGATGGGGTTGCTAGCCTCATACCCAACCTTTCCTCTTCACCAGCATTATTTCTGACTTAGCGAGTTAAAGGAGTGCGTCGGCCGGGGATCGAACCCTGGACCATGTGCATGGTCGGCGAGCGTCCTAACCGCTATGTCACCGACGCACAGGTCCTTAAATCTAATCCCTACATATAAAAAGTTGAAAAATGTCATATATATTAAAGAAAAAAAAGCATCATTGTATCAAGACTGTACAAGATTAAAGACTTACTTTTGCCTTTTTTAGATCCAGTCGTTGCTCCATACATGATTCAGGGAATTCCACTCTATCTTTGAATCGACTCAAAAAATATGTTACAAGACTCAAGTAAGCACACACACACACACGCAACAAGGAGAAATTGACAAAATCCAATGTATCTTTAAGTATGCTCACAGTTTATTCGACTTCAGTGTATAAGCAAGCGTCAACGAGAAATATAATCACTGAGTAGAGTGGTGAGTTTAATGTACACTTATATGAATCTTTCAAAAATCATTCAATTTTGAGAAATATCCTTTTAAACATACATTGAAATTAAAAAAAGTTTTAATCCGATCATAATAGAATAATAAATAGAATGAATACTTAGATATAGGTTCATATGTGAACAGCACGGAAGGTACGTTTATTCTCCCTAATTTATTATTATTATTGTTATGATTATTTGTAAATTTAAAAATGTTTGAGGAATAGGATTACAACATTCCGATTTGGAGTCGGAGGAGGTGGCGGCGGGTGGAGGAATCAGTGATCACAGAATACACAACATAAAGGAAACAAAACTACTGCTTTAGTGAACTAATCACATTTGAGAAATTGTGTCTGTAGAAAGACAATAATAACAATAGTAAGATGAATACGTATACATGTAAGTAGGCAGGTTCACGTGTGTTTACCTTCTTGTATGTCTGTACCTCACTCCAATCTGTCCGTATTTCTACCTTGTTTTGTTGTTGTATACTGGAAAAACATAGAAGATGTATATTATTCACAAGATAGAATTCTGACCACACATAGAAAATCATGTGGGAAAACGATCATGTGTACGTATATACGCTAGTTCCATACATTCAAATATATCCATATAGGTCAATGATAGAAACGATTTGTAAAGCAGAAATCTTTGTATCCATGTTGACAATACGAGGTGGGGTAAATAGACCTTGTTTGTGTTGAAATTCTGATGCTTATTGTCATTGGTAGTTTGCGGGTGATATATATATATTATTTGTTATAGCTGTTCTCTATTATTCATTTAAGATGGCTTCAAGACTGCGCATAGGCTTTCACCGTAGGCTATCACCAGCCCAACTGTGTCATTTCGCCTCTTCGATTCGACCGAAGAATAAGTCTGCTCTTAATATTTCTTTTTGTATTTTTCTTGTACATTGAAGTTTCTGTAGCAGTTTGATTGATTTTTTGTGTGGTAGGGTCTCAAGCCCCACGACCAACCCTCCCTCTGTCCCCGGGTTTGAGACTGGCTAGAAAACTAGTGAGCTAGTAAGATAGGCGAGTTTTTATATAGTGTATAGCTTTTTCAAATCCATTTCTTTGACAACATTCATTTCATGTGTATTTTATAGAAGAAATGAGACAGCTGTTAGCTCACTTCAAGTGATACACGTGGACGAATTCCGCAACAATGGTCACCCAATAGAGTAGAGTGTAGTTAATGCATCAAGTGCATAAACTGTAAAAGAGAGTGGTGGGAAATATTATGATGGCTAGTGTTTACATTGAATTTCCTTTTCAGTCTAATGATATATTTTGTAAAACTGCATGGTTATACCAAAAATAGGAAGTGGAAATAGTTTAGAAGCTGGTGTCTATGAATAATGAGTGTTTTTTCTTAAATTACAGTCGAATAAAAAGGAATGTGAGCTTTGCAAATTAATCAATTCAAGGAATTACCACTCGACCGAAGCACCTAACCAGACAGTTGGAAGGTAAAACGTTGGATGCTTTGAAGCGATATGGATCTGTGAACTGAATGAAGACAGGCCAAACCACGAAGACGGTATTCTTGTATTCAGATCAACTTAATCTAACTGGCTAGCAAGCATTACTCTTTGATTTGAGTGTTGTCCATCTACTCATATCAGTCAATCAGTAGTGAATGGCATCGTGCGAGAACTACTATCTATCGCTTCACTTTTTGTTGGAGCGAAGTAACAAAATAGATGTCGTCAGTACCTTGTGAATCTGTCACACAAAACCAATAATCAGGGGATGTAATATTGTTCTTCTTCCTTTGAATTTCGAGTGGAACATAGGGCTTCAACGAAACATCTCCGTTTCATCCGGTTCTCTGAAGTCCTCTTCAAATATCCCCACGACTCTCTATATGCTTTCATCTCCTCCACAGATAATTCCATCCATGTCACCCTCTACCAGACGCCAAACTTATTGTTTCCTCTTCGGGATCCACTAAAGCGGTGACCTGGCGCCCGACGTCACCTGACGGTCTCCTCAGAATGTGTCCGATCAGTTTCTATTTTTCCGGGCATGCATTTTGAGCAATAGATCCTTCTTTCTTCCCGCAATTTCTTGTTGCTTACTCTTTCTGGCCAGCCATCTGATATACAGAAGCAGTGACATCACCTAAAGGCTATTAGAAATGCTTTCCGTGACATACTGTCAAAGATTCTGACTCATGTAGAAGAACTAACTGACATGATTTGGGTGTTGTGACATCAGAATTTCATACTTTATGCTGAGTGTAAAATATTTACAAGCTGATCTCATAGTGGTGAAGGTCTGTCTTGTCTTCTTGATTCTGATTTTCACATACTCATCCGTATAGTCACCTGTGGTTGAAACGATTCTGCGTAGATAAGTTGAGGAAGTGATCTCGTTCAAATTTCTTCCTCTGATAGTAATTAGTGTTTGATTTATTTGTTGGTAGATTGTCTTCATCACCTCTGTGTTGTCTACCTGCTTCTTCTGTCAACATGTTCACGTGTGAGCCTTCGAGTTTTCAGTGCTTGACACATAAACCGTCCAAAATATCCTTATCAGTTCAACGTATTTCTATCTTCTAGTTCTCCACGCACGGTGTGTCGCATAATTCAGTCTACCACAGTTGGGAATATCATGGTCGATAGTAAATAGCCTTGTCTTACTCCTGTCTTCACGTCAAGGTCTTCGCTGAATTCACCGTTGTGTATCACTTGACATGTGTTACTGTCTTATAGCTATTGAATGATGCTGATAAAGATTTGGGGCATCATACTCCATAGTTTTGAAGCATCTTCCAAAATACTTGAAAGCTAACACTGTCGAAGGCCTGTTCAAAGCCGACAAAGTTTAGGCGGATCGAGATATATAGTCGTATCTTCTGACTTTCTGAGAAATGACCATTTTCTTTCGTATTGTTTGTAACTAATCGTGCCATCATGCCATTTCAGTCACTGCTGATTCCATAAACTATAATTTTCATGCGAATTTTCCGGTGAACAGAGTAAAATCAGTGTATGTATTCTAAACTACTTACTACTATCTCGTATATTTTAGGCTATTTTCAGATGAAGAGAAGCTTGGAATTAAAGATTGTGGGTATTTTATACGGTAAATAGTGCTCTAAATTGATTATGCGAATCTGAAAACATTATTTCCACTTGAATTTACCTAAAGTACATAAGTATAATAACCATAAGCAATCGGAACATGATGAATATATATATATATATTCGTAGTCATTGCTTCCTAACTCCAACTGCTGACTTCACCCACTCAGGAATTGACTTGCTACCAGGGAATAATTTCGTTGACTTAGAATATGCATGCGGATGATATAGTCTTTCTGTTTGAAGATGCTGAAAAAATGCAGAGTCTTCTGAACACCTTGAGCTGGGATCTACGAATGTTCGGCATGCGATTCGCTCCCGCCAAATATAAGATGATGTGACAGGATCGGACTACACTGACTCCTAGCTTAGAAATAGGGAGTGAACTGGTAAAGCACGTTGATCACTTATTTGAGAAGTTGTATCAGCCAGCCCCAACGGGTTGATCGTTGACGTAGTCTCAGCACGGATACAGAGGGCTAGTTTTGCATATACTAGTTTACGCTGTCTCTGGCGTAGACGTGATATCCGACTGGCTATCGACCAAAAGCCGGGTGTACTGCTTAACAGTCTGCTGCGTCCTCCCTTATGGCTGTGAGTACTGGACATTGAGAGTGAAAGACATGAAAAGCTTGGCTGGCTGTCTTTGATCAAAGGTGCTTGCGTTCTGTCTCCCGTGTGAAGTGGTATTATATGGTGAGCAGTATTGAGGTTAGACATCGGTTGAAGGCTAGGCAAGGAAATCAATCGACGAGACTGTGAAGTTACAGCAGTTGAGATGGTTAGAGCATGTATTACATATACCAATCTATCACCTTCCTCGTCGGGCAATGTTAGCTGACATAGGATCAGGTTGGTGGTCAAACCAAAACATGGCGTTAGTTTAAGCCAGTCACGTAGGAAGGTGTAGACATCCTGGTTGGAGTCCTCGGGACGGTAAAAACCAATGGCTAGAGACAATTGGTGGTATGGCGAAGATGTATCCACTCCTTTTGACTTATAATATCCAACAAAGCTATATGGTTCTTTGATATTACTATTCCTTTTGCCTCATATCTATTTTTACTGTTTCTGTTTTGCATTTCTTTTTACTTTCTTCCCTTGCTTTGCATGCTAAGTGAAGTGTGGCTACTTGAACTGATGCACATCGGTGCGAAGTTCTACGTTGAAACCAGTCAGTCATTTATTGCTCCCATGTATTATTATTATTTCTTTGGATTCTGTGTGAAGCACAGAGCTTTAGTTGCTCGTCTCCATTTCAACTTATTCTTTGAAAACGTTTTCGCCTGTTTCTACGATAGCCCATAAACTTTCATTGCCTCGCAACTCACGGTCTCTTTCATGTCATTCTCAAACCTAAGACCAACTAGTCTTTACCCTTTTGGATTCCACGAGACGGTTTGCCTGACCCCACATGTCACTCAACTGTCTCATCAAATTATGTCCAATCTTTCTACATTTCATTCTGTATATCTGTTAGGCAATAACTTTTCTTGGTCGATACTGGACATCATATCGATGTCAACACAGCTTTCAGGGTTACATACCGAATTCCGAAGTCGTTATCACGTACAGTTCGCTTACGTCGCCTACACATAGCTGAAGCTGTTGCAATAAGATCGACTAAACCGTAACTTTGTATCCAAAAAGAACACGTCCAGACGCTGTTCCTACCGTGGCCAAACTTGGATTGATGATTCTTCTTCTCACCAAGAGTGCTCCTTCCCCTCAACCCTCTTGGCTTTTTTTCCTTTGCTTATTATTACAATTATTACTATTATTCGTCATAATTTATGCCCTTCATGCAAACATTCTCTCTATACTATCGAATTTTTCGTTTATACTATCCGAACTTATTATTAGTGATATTATCTCTTTTCTCAATATATGCCTCCACCTGTTTCATTTCACACATTCGTTATTTCTTGATGAACCTCTCATTGCAGTCTTACTATCTCCTGTTTAACACAGATCACTTTGTACTAGCCACTCACCTGACACCTTTTATAACCTTGAACTGACTTGTCAAGTTTCCTACCCCACACTCTACAATTCTATTATGACTAATCACCATTGTCTCCCGTTATACAATATTCTGTAATCGAATTCAGCCTAGCACGTTTGTCACACAAATACGACTATTTATTTTGACACCCTATAACTAATCTGTTCTTCTACGTTAAAATGTATCTGCCGCATAACTGGCCTTAATTGTAACGACAACAAATATTATATTTTATAATTGTAAGAACCA